GAGACCAGCTCAGCCCACCAGGGGGCAGGGCTGGCTGGCATGTGGTGCTGGGGGATTGAACCGCGGTCCCTGATGCTTTTGCTAAGCTTGTTCTAAGTAAGTGCTTTAGACCACTGAGCCATCTCTCCAGCCCCTTCTAATATAATTTGAAAACTACTTTTTCCCTTGTTGGCTGGTCGGGCCAGGCTGGTCTGGAGTTGCTGAGCCAAGGACAGACCCACCTCCGAAATAACAGCAGGCAGCTGGCATCAGTAAGGTGCGGCATACATGTGCAGTGGGGTTCAGGTGCCCTGGCTGCAGGCAGCCTTCAAAGCAATCTTTTTTTTTTTTTTGAAAGCAATCTTAATGAATGACTTTGTGGCATGGACTCTGAGGGTGACCTTCTGCATAGGTGACTGTAGAAGAGTTGCTGCCGCCTTGAGGCTGTAGGGTTGCCGAGAGCCCCTCACCTGGAGCTGTAGCTCTGGATTCTCACGCATGCTGCCAGCTTGCGCGAGGGCCAGAAGTTACAGCAGAGCCGCTTCTACCTGCAGTGCTGTACTAAGAAAGCTTACCAGGGACCTCTCTGCAGTTACAGTGTCCATGAGCTTGCTTTGTTTAGCACAGAGCCCAGATCGAAGGGCGCCTTCCAAGTTGAGAGGTGAGCACCACTCATCCCTTGACCTGTCTACTCATGTGTTAATCGTCTTTGTTTGTGATTAGAGATTGACAATGTATTTGAATATCTGTTCGTACTAGCCCTGTTGGCGATTCTAGGTCATTTTCACTTTCAGATAAGCTTGTCTAGTTCTAGAAAAACATAATTGCTGGCATGTGATGTGTCCCTGTATTTAATTTTAAAGGGTATTTAATCATAAATGATCAACACTCTTGCAGCTAAGAACAACAGAGTAACAAAGAAGTGAATGAAGTAGAAAACGAGAGTGCCACGCTTTGTATTCCCACCCCTCTGTAATTAATATTTTCACCGATGTCTGCATGTCTTTATGAATATATTTATAAAACCATACCAATGTGTACATTTTTAAAACAAAATATTTGAACACTTTTTAAGAATTCCTCCTGTAACTCATACTTAACAGTATCTTTTATTTTTCTTTATAGCCGTCATTCCAGCCCGTGAGTCTTTGAGAACATTATAATGTCTCTTTGTGCCCCTTCTTGCAAGTTCTCTCAGCTGCTACCTGTTGAAGACATGGATATCAAAAACTCACCTTCCAGCCTTAACTCTCCTGCCTCCTACAACTGTGGTCAATCTGTTCTCCCCCTGGAGCATGGCCCTATATATATCCCTTCCTCCTACGTAGACAGTCGCCATGAATATTCAGCCATGACATTCTATAGCCCTGCTGTAATGAATTACAGCGTTCCCAGCAGTGTCAGTAACCCAGAAGGCGGGCCTGGTCGACAGACCACCAGCCCAGGTGTGTTATGGCCGGCTCCGGGGCACCTCTCTCCTTTAGCAATCCATTGCCAGTCGTCGCTTCTGTATGCAGAGCCTCAGAAGAGTCCTTGGTGTGAAGCAAGATCACTAGAGCACACCTTAGCCGTGAACAGGTAAATCCAGTCTCCTTTCTGAGTGATGACTCACGGCCATCCTTGAGCTCGCTTTGACTTAGAGAGAAGAGGTGTGTTGTACAAGGCATGTGTTAATCATCTAGATTACTTTAAGCACCTAAGACATGCTGCCCTCAATAAAATGTGCTTATATTGGGTGTTGTAGAAACAATTCACTGGGGCTGGAGAGATGGCTCAGTGGTCTAAAGCACCTACTTGAAACAAGCTTGGCAAAGCACAGGGACCGCGGTTCGATCCCCAGCACCACATGCCAGCCAGACCCGCCCCCTGGTGGGCTGAGCTGGCCACACACACACACAATAAATAAATGTAATAAATAAAAATAAATAAATATTAAAAAAAATACAAACAGACAAACATAAAAAAAAAAGAAACAATTCACTAACATGACTACTGTCTTTACACAATAAATGTTGAACCTGCATCAGTTTGACATTGATAAAGGCACTGTATTTGAGTTTGAAAAATAAACTTTTTTCATGTGAGAGTCCTAGGCTGGGTGTATATTTTAGGCCTATAATCTCTGCAGTAGAAAGGCTGAGCCATGAGGATCACTGTGAGTTTGAGGCCAACCCACATTTCTTAGTGAGGTCCTGTCTCAAAAAACAAAACCAAACACTTTCCTCCCCCCTAAAAAAACCCCCCAAAACAAACAAACAAACAAAAAAACCAGCCCAAAACTCCAGCCAGGTTAGAGTCTCACTGTGAAATCATAATTTAGTGTCCATGACAAGTTGTTTCCAGGATAAAAAATAATTATGGCAGTATAAAATTTAAATGAAAAACTAGCCACATGAAACCTTAAAAGAGGGCCGGCCACATAGCTCAGCGGATTAAAGTGCCTGAAAGCAGGCACAGGGGCTGGGGGTTTGATCCAGGGGCCTGCCATCCTGGATGCGCCCGCAG